GCAGGAAAAGTAAAACTGTTTTTTGTGTATTCTAGAGAATTGGTATTACTCTGGAAGCATTTTTCTGTAACAATAAATAAACCAGTAACCCCTTCTTTCTACAAATACATGGTACTTTAGGCCTTAATACATTATTTATGTAGCCTGCATTCTAGAAATTAAATTAGAGAGCCTGTTTGCTGGGGGTTTTTTTTGGTGGTTATCACACCCAGCTAAAAAGTGGTGTGGTGGATCTTGCATTTGGCTCTAAATGGATAAACCGCTGCATTCATGTGGGGCCCTGCCAGTATTGGGACACCTCCACGTGAGAGTCTCTCTGGGATCAGGAGCAGGATTGTGGGTCCCCTTACATTTCCGTATACAAAATCTTATATATGTGTCCATATACTGGATGGGTACTCATGTGTCTGTAGCTTATACACAAAAGATATAGAATCATAGAACTTCCTGAATTATGCTTTTGCATGGGAAGATTGTGTATGTTTTGATGAAGGTTATGTTTTTAGCAACTCAGTAATGCTGTGTATTATGTTGTTTAGTGAGTTGTGTTCTCCTTTGGGAACATGCGTTTATATAGGTTTTTTCAAATCTAAACCGACTATATAAATGGTGATAACTGATTTTGTTTCAACACAGATTAGTAAAAGAGTAAATTTTTTTTATTTCTTTTGTCAACAAACAAAAAAGGAAGCTGTTTAGAAACAAACCCAGCAATATCCTTTTTCAGGTGCCTTCCAGCAAGCGAATAGTTTGCAGTTTGGAAGGTAGTGAAGCAATTTTTTCTCAGAAGTATTACTATCTGGGGAGGAGAGGAAGGAATGGGCAAAGACTTGTGTAAGTACAGCAAATCTAAATACATAGGATCAGCGCATATACATCATGTGGGATCATCAGGGTAATCAGCAGGAGAGCCTGGCCTTTCCGAGAAGAGCTCAGCTCCATCAGCAGGACTGAAGGCTCAGCCGTTACTCTGCTTTTCCCATACCTCAACCTTTTGCAGCAAGATTAATTTCTATCTACAGGCATAAACCCAAAGTCATACTAACCTGTGATAGACTTAGACAAGAGATGAAGCCTCTCCCTCTTGTGGAGTCCATCAGAATCTAAGTTCCAGAAGCTTATTCAGTGGCAAAATGTATCCTTACCATAGAAATTCCTTGCTCTGCTTTTGTGCTCCGGTACAGTTGGGAAGCAGTGGTCTGTTTGGAGATGAGTGGGTTTTCACTGCTGCCAGCAGTATGTGAAAACCTGGCAAAGAATTCGCATATTCATGAATTAAAGCGTGGTATACTTTTTATAAGAAAACATCAGGACTTTCATGATACAGTTATTTTTCATACCATTGAAAAGCTTTCCACACCCAGGGAGCTTGTGTGCGGATTTGCTAATGGGATGTAAAACTCGCTGTCCACAGGAGTTGTCCACGTGTAGCTCACAGAGGTACACACTTTGGACATGTGTATGCTTACATGCAGTCTAAAATGTTTTCATTTGAGGAGGCTGAGACCAAGACAGGTGTATCTCCTGCTCTCGTTCGCTGTTGGTCAGCCCTTCCTTTTGTACAGGGAAGGGTGACAACCCTGCAGGTGACAATGCTGGTTCATACTATATTTGCTGGGACATCTTGGGTTTATTTAACCTCTCCTGTAAATCACTGGATTGCCCCGTGTTTTCATTAACTTGACTTGCAATGCTATAATGTCTTACTGTGTTTAGTTGTTACCTCTTGGAAGACATTTTACTAAGCAAGGAAAATATTTATGATTAAGCATGAAGAGGAAGTATGTAAGATGTTTATATTTTCCATTTATCAGTACACTTCAGAGTGCTGCTTTCTGAAATTGCAATTCTGGACTTCATAGTCAACTTTCACTGAGATGGTTTGTGCTGTGTAAGATTGCTAATTCTGTTGCTATATCCTTTATACGCTGAAACAAGGGGAATTTGCTGCTTTTTAAATTGGGGCTGAAGACTAAATTCACCCTATTTTTATACTCAAGCCGGCTCAGCTTTAGGGGATTTAAGTGATGTAATTGTATTGTATTCAGCCCCACAACTAGTCCGACTGAAAAAAATAATCTTCAAAGTGAATATTTTAGTGCTTCATGCAAGGCACATTGCTCAGTGTCTTGGGAAAAAAAAAGTAAAGCTTTTCTTATATTTGTGAACCGTGGTCCATTGTTGTACAGGTTTTCTAAGCTTCTGTACAAATCTTAACTGCACAAAAAGTAGAGAGAGCTGGCTCCCTCATCCTTAAAAAATGAAGTTTTATTCCTGCTTATAATGAGATGTTGCATTTATTCATGGGATTAAGTCCTTAAAAGAAAGGAAGGTGCATAAAACCAGGTTTCTAAAAGTTTACATCATAATATTTCAAAATAAAAGTATATTCCTCAGGAAGAAGATGCATACATTTGGAGGCTCGCTAGCGCAAGGACTGACATCTTGTCCTTTTATGTTTGGATTTGTTGCATTTCCATCCAACTGGACCAAAAATGTTGGTCCAGTGTCTCTTGACACTTATCAGTGTGGATATGTTTGAATAAGCTTCGGGTTTTGGTTTTGTTTCCAGTGTGGAGTGGAAGTATTAGATGTATTTTGCGGGGAGGGAGATTTGTTACCCAGTGCCCATAACTGAATTAAGGATCTTTGGGAGGAGAAGTTGAGGTTTTCCCCTCTCAGTGTTTCCTCCAAGGTAGCACGTGTGGATAGCGGTCCGCTGGTGAACTGTGCTGCTGCGGGGCTCTCGTCTTCTCTTTCAGGGTGTTGAGCCATCCGTAGGTCTCAGGAGATAGTTCAGCCTCTTACATATTTTCTGGGAACTACTGGTAGATTTTGTTGTGGGAGAGGGGAACGACATGCTCACTGTAATTCAATATCAAACAGCTATTAACTTTAAAAGTTCTATATTCAGCAAGCTCCCTAGTATGGGGGTTTCAGGGGGGTAATTGAGCCAAATGTCTTTGCAGCTAGAGCCAATGCATAACTAACTCATCAGACAGTTCATATCAATTTTAGCCCTGGAGGCATCCTTGGTGTGCCCATTCTGCGAAATGGCTGAGGGTTTTTGTACTTGCAATTTTGATCTTTTGGATCCTTTGTAGGTAGAAATTTAAATCCTAAATGGTCTTTTTGCCAGTTGAATTTAGAGAGGGAAAAAGTGTTGATTTTGGTGGTGTTGGGTTTTTGCGTGATTTATTTTTTTTTTGTTTTTTTTTTTTATTGTCTCGTAACTGAATGGAGAATATGGTAACTTAGATTAATATACAGATATGCTTCCCCCTCAAAGGAGTTTAGAAAATGGAATTGCTGAGGCAGTAGAAGTAAAGCATATCTGTGTAGGTGTGATGGATGCTCTCTAGCCAATCTGAAGAAAATTTGCACACAGTCTTTTATGAACACAGAACCAAAAACCCCAAACAATTATCACCAAAAATGTGATACAGGATTTTGTTCTATTTTGCTCCAGTTTCTGCTGGGTAAGAAAGGTATTTTCCTTCTTCTGTAGCGAAAATAGCAGTCTCCTTATGTCTCAATTATTCCATCAGCTGTGAGTAAGGCACCAAAATAAAATATTTTTTAAAAAATCTGCATAATGAAAAAACTATAAAAGTAAACAGTAATATACTTAGGGCTTGTGGCATTTCTTTGATCTCTTTGCTAATAGAATTACCCTGCTCTCCTACACTGCAAACAGACGCTTTGTGAAGATGTAGGATTATGTTCTTTGTCCCATTGTCGAAGTCTGGTATGAAAACCACAGAAGAGGATGTGAATACTGTAACTTTGGGCTTGGCAGCTTCCTGACCTTTATAAAAGGCTTGCTCAGTGCAGTAATAGCTAGTTCAGTGCTGGCAAGGTGACAGACTAGATGAATTAGCTGGTCTTTTCCGTCTCTTATGTGTCAGATTCTTTGTTTTATATGGAAATAATTTCTGTCAAAATGGGAAATTTATCATGAGGTACTTCCTCTGCCTGTAAAATGAAATGTCAGCCACAGGTCTGTTTGAATGTGTCTTCTGTTACAAACCACTGGTGGAGCCAGCTTTGTCCATTGATACCACCATTGTGTTCCCCTGTGTTTCAACACAAAGTCAGGCAACGCCACTGACCTGCAATAATAACAACGTGTAATAGAAAGCAACGCTGCCTGATTGTCTTCCATGTGAGGAATCATATCAAAATTTCTTCAATATTTAGAGGTTATCAGGTTTTTTCTCTGTGATGTGTCAATATGGTGGATGTGTCTGTTTCAGCTCTGTGTGTGTATATATATGTGCATCTATGTACATAAAATGTTATGACATGCATTATTATTGATATACTATGATGTCTTAAGAAACCCAAACCAATTTCTATGTATGTATTGACTTTGGTATGTCAAATAGTATAGGCCGTTAATATGAAATATCTTTGTGTAAAGATTTAACATCTGTCATTACTTTAAAAGCTGAATAGATATTACAGCATTATGGGTTTCTAATAGATTAAGAAGGTACCATATGTCACGCATTACCCTGCTTTGCATTTTCATATATGTCAAGCAGTGAATAATCCTGCATATTGTCTAGGCAAGGATGGCACTGGGATAAATTTTTTGTTTGGTTTTTTTTTTAGTGGGAGAAGATGATGGTGCTAAAAGGAATTCATTTAAATATTGAGGGGGGCAATATACTTTTAAAGGTGAGATTAAAAAAGGGGGTTATATGGTGCGTCGTGAACCATTCAAGTCAATGCAGACTTTGAAGATGGAGGTATTGTTGTAAGCTATGAACACGGTGTTTAGGCGTGCGAAATTCAATAAGAGAAAGCGAAAATAACTCTAGCCTTCTATTCCCTTCTTCAAAGTATTGCTAAGGGAAGTTTGGCAGAAGCTGGGACAGGAAATTGAAATCTGAATACTATTTTAAACTGATAGGGTTAAAGGCCTCTCTTTTACACTAGCACACTTGTTCTTTTATTTGATACTTGAACTCTGAAAATTTTCTGTGACTTTCTAGGGAGAAGGAGGAGCAGCTGACTCGGGTGACAGAGGTACAGAGGCTGCAGGCCCAGCAGGCAGATGCTGCCCTGGAGGAGTTTAAGCGGCAGGTGGAGCTGAACTCAGAAAAAGTCTATGCTGAAATGAAACAGCAGGTGAGAAGGTCACAATGCCAGCCTTTCTGAAACTCTGTCTCAGTAGGATAGCATATTCTGATCTTATAATGCCAGAAACATGCTTCACTTGAGAGTGCTACATCAAAATCTTTCACAATGTAGTGTCTTTGCTAGCAAGTCAAAAAGGGACGTTAGCAGTTGTTTCATCTTTCTAACAAAGCCAGAATTGTCATTGTTATAAAGATATCTGCGGTTATGATACTGATTAGGGATTTTTCAGGAGTGAGAGTATAAAGTGTTAGTTTATACACCCCTATGGAACAACGTTTGTAATTTTCCACTTAAATGTGTGTCTCTTCCTACTCTTTTCGGATCGACTCTGTCTTCCGTTAATGAGGTCTTGTAATCAGTTGGAGCCTAAACAGGGGCAGAGCCATTGTGGCTGCTGGCATTCATGTGCAGAGGACAGAACAATCCAGTTTTCTGTCCCTGAAAATTAGTAGCGGGAATTTATGTAAAAGATTTTAGTGTCTTAAATTTCTTATGGAGCAAACAATAGTTAAACTGTTGTCCCTGGGATTTTACAAATCCAGTACAGTGAGTGAAATAAGGAACAAGTGACAGGTGATCAAAAAGAAGGGGTGAGAAGGGAGTATTTCCTTAACTTGCTCATGTGGTTGAAATGTCTCTACATATTTCAAGCTTGTAATTCTACCTGACCATATACTTTCCAGCCTCAACTATCATAACCAAACCTTGCTGTTGACAGCAGGATGCTGCAATTTGATATTGTAATGGATTTCTAAGGAGGTTGGCTTATAACTTAACAAATTATCTTTTTGTTGTTCTCCTGAAGTTTTTTTTCTGAATATCTTCAACAAAAGTGAGAAATTAAGTAAGGCATTGCTGATATTTTTAAGACCCGTGCAGACAGCAAATAATAGAATTTGGAAATAAAAAAGCAAGAACAAACTTATAAAAGCAAGATTTGTTCTGCAGACTAGACCCATGAGGGCAATACGGCATATCCTGCAATTTTAATCTGACATTTTCTGTGCTGTGAGACTCTTCTCCAACTTCTTCACGATGTCTTAAAATAATATCTTATTTCTGCTCCAAAAGGGATATAGTCTAATTCTAGAAAGACTAATAATAGTTTCATTCACTTAAAAAACCCCAGCAAACAAGACCATTCCAAAACAAAAAAATGTGCAAAAGAATTTGGAAAACTTGAAGTCAATTTTCATTTAAAAATGACTGCAAATTTCTTTTAGAATATTGCTGCGTTCTGGGAAATTTTGAAAATAAATTTTGCTGTCCTCCAAGAATCAGCCATGGGTTTGTTGTGTCCCTACTTGCATGCTAAAATATAGAAATAGTAAATGATATTGTACGATTGAGCAGTACTGTTCTACAGGAACCAAAGTTCAAGGAAATACATCAAAGAAACACTGCTGAAGCTGTCTTCATAGCTTTGTCCGTTCTCATTTCTTCTGCACGCACATACTCTTTAGATAAATCACCTGTTAGATTGTAACATATTGGAAAATTCTATTTTTTCTGGTTAGGTAGAATGTATTACTTACAAAACAAAAACTGTAGTAGCTATAGCAACACTGTGCTTTTAACTACACTAGAAATGTTGGGCTTCTAAAACCATTTTTTGGTGTGTGGTAAAGTTAATTATGGACATAAGTAGCATGGGGTCTGGCATGTTCCGTTCTTGTAATCAATATTTGATTCATTAGTTTGGCTCTGTGGTATCTTTTTGCCATCTGCTTCCTATTTTGTCAAGCTTGTGATTTTTAAGAGTCACCTGATGCCCACTGATGGGCAAGCGGTACATTTTTAACTATAAGACCTGCATTTTTTTTCTAATAGTAACTAGCAAAAAGAGAAACAATAAATAGACTATGTCATGGTACTTTAGATCTAGTGTTTCCTGGGTTTGGCAAATGATGATCAAGAGCCCTTAGTGCGCTTGTAGGAAATCTATGAATGTGACCTAACAAGTAAAGCGCAAAAGCCAGTAGAGTTAAAGCATCTTTGCATATGTTTTTACTATTTCACTTTTTAGAATGTTTTCATTCTCTTAAAAATAAAAATCCTTAAATAAAGTAACAAGATCTTTTATTTTTCTGGGTTTTATTGAGCTGAGTAAAAGATGGCTATGAACATACAACTTGAGTAAGTTTGGAGGCAGAAGAAATTATTCATAAAATATTCATTGAAGTCCCTTTTCATAATAGCACATAGTAGCAGTGAGGTTCAAGAGCTACTGGAGGGATAACTTGTTCCTTTCTGTTCTATTTTTCCGCTTTCTATCTGGCCAACTATTGCTAGTCCTATATCTTCCTCTCTTGCTGCAGTATTTTCCAATAAAATGCTTTTCCCACTCCGAGTACTGCCTTTTCTCCTCTTTCCTTGCCTTAGAAGTGATGTCCAGGCTGCTTGGCAAAGAGATCTGTTGAAGACAGAGCACTCCCTTAGGCCAAACAGGATTTTGGCTTGTGTTTCAGGAATTCACGTGTTTCTTCTTTCGGTACAGCAGATGGACTTGTGGCAGCACTGGTCCTCCTGACAGCTACACCCCTATTCTCTCTCTCTCTCTCTCTCTTTTTTTTTAAGGAAGGCAGTTTATTCACTGCTTGTGTTGGGACCTAGATCTAAAAGTAATTGATGAGTACGCACTGCAGCGTAGTACTATATATATATATATATATATATATTCCCCTGGAAACATGCCTGCTGTACAGCTAACAGTTGTGCGTTTGATACAAAAGCCTTTGTTAATTGAGTTATGAAATTGCTTCCTTGATGCTGTGTGCTGGAATCTGTGGGACTCATTATTCATAGGTGATGACTATCTTCAGAGAACTTTACTTGCAGCCAAATAATTCTCTTTTAAGTTATTTTACTGATTTAATGTAAACTTACTTTAAATATGTAGTTTGTGCACTGGCTCATACATGATTTCCCTTGAATTTCCACAGGCAATTTTTGAGTGAAATATATTTGAGTCTTAAATATGTCTAGAAAAATATTCACTTAATTTTGATGGGATGTTCACCACTATTGAGTGAAAAACTGAGCCAATACTTTGTAATCAGGGAGTGGCATGGCATAGGTGATCACTGTATCCTTAAGTAACTAATAATCCTGTAGTGACTGAATATTAATTTTCACTACATACAAATAGTGTAGTTATCATTCTCAGCAGGTTATATTCACCTCTTTGATGGTTTGCAAACAACTGTAGAAACGTCAGACTGTTTCAAGCTATGCCTTTTTAAAAAAAATTAAACATTCCCTTTCTTTTACCATGTAGATGGAAAAGGTTGAAGCAGATCTAAGCAGATCAAAATCGCTCCGGGAAAAGCAATCCAAAGAATTCTCCTGGCAATTGGAAGAGCTCAAGCAAAGATACGAGCAACAGGTCAGTCGGTTTGCTCTTTCAGGTGGAAGGGAGGAGGGACATCCTTTCATGCATCTTTTCCCATTCTCGCTGTGCATTGCTGTTCTTTGTATAAAGACAAAATTTATAGGTATGCAGAGTTTACACAATGGGGGATTGAGGGGGAAGAGTCTATATAGAAAATATTTTTGTTTCCTCTTTGCAATCCTTTGTACCTCTGACTCTTTCAAATTGTTTCCCAGGCTTACAGGTGGCAACACCTATTTTCATAACGGCTCGATGAAATTATTTAATGCGTTATCTGTTTTTCTTCTTGTCAAGAAACAGCGTTTTATTCTTTTTATCATTTTTAACATGGGGAGTGTTCGTATGAATGCTTGTTTTGGCCCACTGATAGTGATTTTCTTTATTGTAATGTAATTTCAGGGTTGGGAAACATTCAGGAAACATTTGGGTGGAGACAAGAAACTTGAGTTCAGTAGTGTTGTGAAGTGTAAAGGGAAAAAACAGAAATAGAAGTAGAGAAGTTATTGCATGATGTTGGCTTGAGAGCTACGCAGCTGAAACAGTCCATCAAACACTTGCATAAGGTGGTCCTGAAAGGTTGTCATGAAACTGAAGTGGCATCTGTTTAGTAACACCTGTTAAAGGATTGAAAATTTTTTTCTGGTTACTTTATAGCAATCATACAGTTAGTCCATAAGCTTGAAGTTCTCTCTTATCAATGTTGCATGGATATAAGTTTACATTTCCACCAGGGAATGTGATTTAATTTCTGTTTATCTTCTGTGCTGGTAAGAGGATGAAATACTGCAGTTGGCTTGTGGTACGAGATCTGCTCTGGTCTGTCTGGAAGGGGCTTTTTCAAGTAATTAAGGAACAAGATCACTTTGGTAGGTGTTGAGAGAGACCTTTGCCTGTGCTTGGGCAAAACACAATAGTGTGTTTTGTGCGTGGCTCTGAATAGAAGAGAGTTTGTTGGTTCAGATCAAAGTATTTTCCTTATCCTCACTCAGAATTGTCGACATTACTAATTGGGTTGCCATCTGACAAAGGGTGAGAAGCTGTCCTGTGTAATACTGAGATACGTCTATGCAGGTGTTTTGTTCAACTGGGTGATTTTATTTATGATTCTTGTATTTAATGATTCAGGAATAGTCTGGGTTGCAGAGATACTGGGGGTTTTGTTTCATGCTTGCATTAAGGGTGAGGAAGTTTGACATGTCAGTTAAAGGACATACTGGAGGGAGGACGAGGGAAAGTGTTGGAGTTAGTTGAGCATCCGCTTGAAGGTGGAATTTTTTATGGAATCTTACGTTCACGTCATTTTAGTGGTATGGTTGGTTCACTTTTTTCTTTACAGTTCTGATAATTTGTGGAGCATCTTTAAAGTCTAAAGTAAGCATTTATTCAAAGATTTTGTTCCCAGGTTTAGGAAGACGATCTATACAGATAGATACTAATCTGCAGTTCGCCACATGTTATGACATTCCTGTTCCTACCTACAAATGGTAATTTTTGCTTTCAGTGTACATGGTAAGAGTTACCAAGCCATAGGTACAATCTTCTGCCAAATACTTGCCCGGATTTGTGCACTAAAGGCAAATGATAATGCCTAGTAGTGTCACAGTTTGGTTTTTATTTGCTTTCTTGTATCATCATGCCTATTACATTCAGACCTTCTGGAGATTGGACAAAAAAAACACCAAACCAAGAAATGAATGTGATAGTTAAAACTCTTTTGGTGAATCTTTTTACATTGGTATTCTGTAACAATGTCGATATTGTGGTAAACATCAGTGTAAGCGTTTTCCACTAAGAGGAGGTGTTTACTGCTTCACTTCTATTTTATTTAAGATAGCTACTTTTTACTCTAAGAAAGAACAGTGATATTTTATGAAACGTTACTGAAACCCAAGGAAAGGGTTTCAGCACTAAACAGCTAAACAATGAGAGCCTCAGAATAATTTTTGGAAGAATTCTGTTTATGCCCTTTTTAAAAATTTATTTCTCTTCAGACTTCAATTGGAGTGTTCTTTGAAAGCTTGCGAACATGAAAAATATGTGACCCTGCAGATTGCAATGGGTTATCATTGTAAACAACATTCTTTTTGTATTGTCATTTCTGCAGTACAAAGCTCCTTCAGCCCAGCCACAGAGCAATATGAGCTCAGTTCTTCCACTCTTAAAATTTCCTTTCAGTAGTTCCAACTTCTGTTTCTCTGTACTACTCTCTATTTATGCTTCAGGACTTCTAAACCATTTTTAAAGCAGACTTTACCTTGCCTTGTTTTACCGCATATTTCTTTGGTTGTTACTTGGGGAGGAATAGACTGATTTAAACTGTTTAAATAGAGCAGTAAATTAGAATTGGTTGTGCATTTCAGCACGGCTCTAGCAGACTTCCAGTTGGGAAGTAGACACCCAACCAAAAAACCAGATACTTTAGCTATGTGAGAACTGTAGTAATTGCTTTGAGATGTTCTGCCTCAAGTCTCTGAATCTAGTTGTCAAATGGAATTTTATACACAAAGGGAAGGCAAATTGACCTTCAGATTAGGTTGACATGGTGAGTGGCAGAGGTAGCACTGACAGCATACTGGACAATTCAGTTGCCCATAAATTTAATCAAGATGGTAATGAAGAACCAAATGAACTGATGTGTTATCCAGTTCTCCAATCTGAGAAACATCTTGGAAGTGTAGGGACTTGAGAGCTGTGGTTATACCTCTCTGCTTTATATGAATGGTTGCCTGTGCTTCACAGGACCCTCCTTGAATATTGATTTCAAAGAGACTGCTGGTGTGAACATGGACCATTGGTTGTGGGGCTGAAAGATTGCTCTGCCTGCAGATTGGACATACAGATTTATTAAATATTGATATTTATCTAATATGTATATCAATAAACCTGATATATATTCATATATATAATTTTTATTTTCCTTGAAAAAGAATTATGACAAAAACCATACAAAACTATGGCAGTTAATGCTTTGTTAACTTTTCAAATGCATTGGAATCCATTAATAAAGCAAAGAAGAAATTTCGGATCTTGCAGTGTTTGGTTTCAGCTGTCAGGTGTCACTCCTGGTTCCAGCTTCATCTGATTCAGTGCCACTTTCTTTTGAAGTATCCACTGAGAACACTGTTAGAGAGAAACTGGTGGCTTTTTTTTCTTTAAATATACTTTAGCTCAACTTTGTTCTACTTGCAGCTGTTAGATTTGAAAGTATATTTTGAAGAAAAAAATAACTCCAGCAGCACCACAGTTCCTATCTGCTGGGAGCAGCTGCTTTCGGCACTTCAAAGCCAGTGGACACCACAGCGAAGGCCTCAGCCTTTCCTGCCTTTGAAATGGTTGCAGTATCTATAGTCGGGCTTTATGGCACCGTCAGCACAGGAAAAAAGGTTGTTTGGTTTTTTGCACCCCCTCTCTTTTTTCTTTTTTTTTTTTTTTTTTTTTCCTACTTTCTAATTACATCCTCAGTTTAGCTCAAAATACCTGGGAAGTGTTCCTGCTGAAATCATTTTCCACAAGCCCAAATGTTTGAAAGAGCACGTGCCCAAACTTTTCAATAATGGATTTTAGGCAGGCAAATTCGACAAAGTTAATGAATTTGCTTTTCTCCCCCATATCCATGTCTGTTGGGCACTTTCGGAGAGCACGTCTCCTGGGGCGAGCCGTGGTACCACGGCACAGCACTCATGGTGGAACAGGGCATCACACAGGGCCGAGTATGTACTCACCTTCATGTCAAGCAGATTTTCATAAATTGTCATGAATGGAACACTTTCAGTGAACTTTTGGAGAGCTTAATGTTTAAATGGTATTAGCTTGTCCTTTTTTTAAAAAAAATACAATAATAGATCACTATGATCACTGTTACACCCATTTTTTGTTATAAATATTGGCTGAAGTGCTGTGACTGAGTGAATGTGAAAAAAATGAGATGCAAGATTAGTAAGAGAGCCAAAGTCTATGAAATGTCATTTTCCTAGCAGGGAGAACGCACTATGAAAAAGTGGATGAATTACTGTGATAGCAGGATGGTGTGACTTGCTGAGTTATGGACACACTGTCTGAAATTAGATGCCAACCTGGATGTATAAATAAGCCTTTTGTTTTGGTTCATCTTTTCTTTAATGGTGTTTATTCCATTTTACAATAATAATTATTCATGCTTCCATAGCAAAGTGGAAAGCTATTACGTGATAGCTGAAGAATCTCCCCGTATCTCAGGAAATCCTTTCTTGTGACATTTATTGTTGGGTTCTGACTTCTGTAAAACTCATGAAGGAATAATTAGAGTTGTCGTCTTGTCCTATTTAGCCAAATAGGGAAGAAACAGGACACTTTCAGAAATGTTTTATTGGGTATTTAACAAGATCACTTTGAGATGATGTTAAAGATGAGAGAAATAGTCTACACTTTTAAGTCTGGAGCAAGACAAGGGTGTGGCTGAGCTTAAATATGCCTTTTATATTAAAGAAAGAGAGGTAAAGTGCAGAATGGTTAAAAGTGAAAAAAGCATGGCTGTAATCTTACCTGCCAGCAGCAAGGACAAGTATCCAAGGTAGTGTTAGGAAATTGTTCTTATTTTAGCAGTGTGCTGGAGCAGAGGAAGATATTATTAGGAGGAGAGGAAGAATATTATTTAGGTCTTTCTGTATGTCTTTTCTTTTATAACTTTCTAGTGAGGTTACTTTAAAGAAAAGAGTGGGGTTATCTTGGGTAAAATATTAATTTTATAATCACAACCATTGTTTTTATACCTAAGTGCGTATATTTAACAACAAACATCGTGTTCAGTGCTAGCTTAATGTTAGGGTTCCAAGCACAATCTCGTGCTCAGTTGCTTAAAAATATTCTAAAGTGTTATTTAGATTAACATTTAATGGTTGGGCATCTCCCCTGATAATTTTTATCTGTTTTACTTTGTGCCAAGAGATTTTACTAGTGTTTGGATTATCAAGGGTGAGATGACGTTGTTTTGCTTTTGCTTAAAATTGGAGTGATAA